AAGTTAGAGTCAGTAAATATGGCCAACCCAGTCATCTATGAGGATTGTTTTGCTGCCCTACTCATTGTTCTGTCTTTTTCGTGAGCTTAAATCATTTAGGATGTTTCCACTGTGATTCATGAGATCTCATGGGCAGCAGTAAGGGCTCCTTAACGTATTGGCAATAAAATGGGCCTTAATGACGCCCACTTTTTTTCAGTAATGGAAGGAATTATGGAAAATGTTGCAAAACAAAGTAATTTGATTTTATTTGATCATAGCTTGCAAATACTATGCTGATCACAGCTGTCAATTCTCCTCTTAACTCCCCTGTCTTTAGTGCTGGTGAATTGATTTCCCTGATTAATCAGTTCAAGCGCTCAGACAAATGGAGAGAGAAGCTCTGATGAGCGGCTCCCAATTCCACACTTTGATTTCATGCACCTATTTGCAGAGTCGAACTGATATCTCCTCCATTGGACACTAGATCTGGTGAAGAAGGCGGTTCGTGGCATGGGGTCAGGCAGGGGTGCTGTTTGAGCGTTGACAATGGTGGGGGATCAAAGCACACCCCCAATTAGCAAAAGATGTGAGGCCTCTGCAATGGGATAGAAGTGGAACAAGTTCATTAATTTGAAGGAGGCTGTGACTTGCAATGCGGTGGTGCAGACAACCATTCTAACTAGTAGAGGTTTTAGATATGCAGAAGCCGCTGCCGTTGGACGTGGCATTAGGCATTTGATCGAGTAATACTAGCAAAATTTTCTGCGGAATGGGCGCATATTCATTGGCCATGACTTCTATGGGGGTGATTTTTGTCACATTCTTGCTATGACTTATTGTTTTTTATTATCAGTGAGAAAGTCTAGACTGGAATATGGGGCAGAATGAAGGGCGGCGCCAATTCGATCTCTCAAACACCCATATTTCTCCAACAAACTATCACCTTTAGACATTAGCTTGAATACACACGACTATGCAGAAAATTGAAAGAGTACTCGAAAAATAGGGTGAGGTGGAAGCATAAGTAGGTAGACGTTAGCCTTTTCGTCTCTTATAGTTAAAATTTCTATAGATATTTGCAACGCCAAAAAGTTAACTCGTTTTTATATGTGTCAGAACTTTTTGTTAAGAGGTTAGACTTTCGAGCATTCTAGAAACTGCCGTACTTGCAAATTGTAAAGTCCTTTTCGTCGACAAGCAATGCATTGAGACAGAATTTATGCACACCAATGCTCACGAATGGATCAAGATCATTCCGGGTAATACACATGAAACAGAGTGATGACCAAAGTGGAATTCCTA